AAATTCACACTTCAATATATATAATGTTAGGTCCAACCGCCTTACTGTTATTCATTTTTTTAACGCTTCTTTTACCTCTTGTTTATGAATCCACAGTAGTAATCATAGTTTTGATCCTCTTCTTTAATGTCGAGTCTATTTGAGTCCAATGAGATATCATATCCTTCATTAAATAAATATGGTAGTAATTATAGTTTTGGCCCTCTTCTCTAATGTTAAGTGTGCTAAAATCCAATGAGATATCATATCCTTTATTAAATAAATTATAGAAATATGTCTTTCACCTATCTTTTAAATATTTTTCCTGAACCAAGACTTTACCTTTTTCATCTTTAACATACTTCACTTGATCCAAATCTCTAATATTTCTCTCTCTTCCCTTAACACACACGCGCACACACGCACGCACACATGCACACACACACACACGTGTGCACGCACACGCACGCACGCGCACACACACACACGTGCGCGCGCGCGCGCACACGCACGCATGCACACACACACACACACAAACACACACACACACGTGCGCGCGCACACGCACGCACGCACGCACGCACACACACACACACACACAGTTTTTTCTCCCTCCTTGCTTCCTAGAAATTGATATAATCTGTCAAAAATTTATATTCTTCTTTCAATCACCGCCTTCTTGGTCTTATTCTTAACTTTCTTGTAATTTTCCTAAGTTTCCACATTTTTACACCTAGACCACTCCTTAAAATAATTCTTTTTTACTCTAACTTTACTCTTGACACTTTCATTCCACCATCATCCCCTAGGTCCAAAACCTCTTCATTCACCCAACGTCCCTTTAGCCATTTTTTAATCTCTTGTGTCATTTTATTTTACATATCATTTTCACTTTCTTGTGGTTGTCCAAACCCTCCCTCCAAGATTTTGTATTGGAAATATTTTAGTTTTTCACCCTTCAAATGCCAACACTTGATTTGTGACGCTACCATGTAACTTCTTCTCTTTCTTCTCTCCTTTATTCTTACATCCATAACCAAAACCTATGTTTAGTAGTCAAACTTTCTTTCAAAATAACTTTACAATCTAAGTAAAACTCATTTCTGACTTCCTAATAAGGAATAAATTTATATGAAAACATAACATTCTACTTTTATATAAAATAAAAAAAATTAATTAAATTAATATATGATATTTTACTTAAATTACATTAGTGTATTGTATGATTAAGTTGAATAACATTTATGTATATTTAATATTAATGGTCTAAAATATAAAATATCTGTAAAAATATTAAATATATAAGAAACTTATTGCCTAGGATTGAAACTAACTGCTCTTTGAGAGTTTCGAATTATTTTCTAAGCTGTGAAATACACATTATCATAAATTTGAAATATGTCGAGAAGTTATTATGAAAATACATATATGAGTTTACGCTTTCATCAATATAGAAATACATTTTCAAATTAATTTTTGACAAAAATAAAAATGAATGACTTATTTACAAAAAATGTAATATATTATAGAATTTTTTTTTCAAATAACCATTTTTTTTTAAAAAAATCTCAAATAATCATTTTTTTAAAAATTTTACTAAAATGATCAGTTTTCAAATAAAAAAAATTCGCCACAGAATAGTAACCACTCTGTGTGACGCATGCATTCATTTTTAAGAAGAGACAGCACACGCATGACTTGTCCTCCGCTGTAAAGTCATGCAGTGTGGCGCATACATGTGTTTTTAAACACTGTCAAGTCAATGAGGGTGGCACCTCCTCTCTAAAAATACATACATACGCCACATAACATGGCTTTACAGAGAAGGACAAGTCATGCAGTGTGGCACCGCCTCTTAAAAATGAATGCATGCGCCACACAGGGTGACTACTCCTCTGTGTAGCGAAATTTTTTTGTTTAAAAAATGATCATTTTAGTAAAAAAATTGAAAAATTTGTTATTTGAGAAAATTTTTTGAAAAAAGTAATTATTTAAAAAAAAATCTATATTATAAGTGCACACATAAATATACTTCCAAATTTAGAAAAGACATTTTTAAATTTTACAAAGATGGCTCTTCACCGTTAAGCATGTGAAGAGAAACCCTCTATTATATTTGCTTTTCAAATACTAGTATAATATTCCCGTCTAAGCATGAGTGCTCTCTCTGTCTCTCTCTCGAACAATTTATCTCATCCTCACAATCAATACCATCATCTTATTCTTCTCAAATTCTACCATTTTTAGTATACAGGTGATACAATGATGCAGAAGCTGTTCATATCTCCAAATAAACGTCCATAATAAAATATCAATTGAACTCACCAAGGTCGCATGTTACCGTATTGTTGGTCAAACATTGATCAATTCACATTCTCTGAGAGTATTTTTGGTCAAACTATGACCAGCTCACTATTTTCTTTTTCTCACGGGTAAGATGGGTTAGGTTTTCGTCTTCAACTACCCAGAACATACACCAATGTTGCTACCACTTGCAATTTGACACCAAGAATTTTAAAAATATCCTCGACTTTTTTTTTTAAAGATTTATTAAAAAATCATTATATATATATATATATATTTTAAAGTAATATAATCGAAGAGTTATGATGCAATATTGGTGTAAAAACATTTACACTCATATTGCAATTAAACCCAATTTGCAATTCTGGTTTTTTAATAAATATTTATTCAATTTTTTAATGAAAAAAAATTTTAAATTTAAGAGATTTCTTAGCACATCCTCTACTTTTCTAAATTTTTCTAAATACCGTACGAAATTTTAAAAATTTTCTCAGATTTCATAAATATATTTTTAGAAACACCTTATAATCGTTTGAGATTAGCCAAAAATTTTACGACTTTATTCTAAAAATATACTTTCAATTGTTTTCAAAAATACACTTTCGATAACTACTGTTACTTTAATTAAATAGCATATAATTAAATAGCATATAATTAAATAGCATATATATATATATATATATATATATATATATATATATATATATATATATATATATATATATATATATATATATATATATATATATATATATATATATAGTTAAAGCAACAGTGAATATCAGAATTATTTTCAAAAACAATCGAAAGTACATTTCAAAAATAAATTAAGTCGTAAAATTAAGACATAGTTTAAAAATAAATGAAATGTGTGTATAGAATGCTTGCGGAAATATATTTTAGAGATTAACTGAAATTTAATAATAAAAAGATATGTTTTAAAAATGTTTTATAAAATACATTTCCAAAAACATTAGAATTCTTTTAACCTTATATAAGTGGCATAAGAAATTTCCTAAATTTAAACCTAATAATACACCGTACATGAAGTCCAGTAATTCAGACCGTAAGCTAGCTATACTTCGAAAGACAGCTCGTTATTTTAGCTTTAAAAAAAATATTTTTGAAAATAAATTTTTTAAAACCATTTTTTAAAATATAATAATTTCTTTTTGATTTTTTAAAATTAAAAAATTATTTTTAACATCCTATAACATAAACATATAAACATATATTATTAGACATCAAAACATTTTTTCAAAACATTTTTCAAATATGATTTTTATCAAAATCTATTTGAAAGTACTTCAAAATTAAGTGATTTGTTAAAATTTTAATTTCGAAAAAAAAATTCAATAAAATGATAAAATGTCTAAAATAACAATTCAAATCAAATTTTCATTTAAAATTTTTATAAAAAATTTCCTTGTGATTTTTATTAAACAATAATATTAGACAACAAAAATCATTTTTTTTAAAAAGACAACAAACATGCCCTAAAACTCCATGGCCATTAATTATATACCTTACCCTAGCATGTGGCCTACCAAATTAATTGGTTTATAAATAACTTCATTACCTTATTGTACGAAAATAACATACGATAATGACAATGTCTACTTATAAGACATGACATCGATGAAGTCATGAACTGCATCAGGTAACCCATTAACTCAAATAACTTTTATTCTACACAACTTTTTTAAATTGATGGTATAAAAGTTATGACACTGTTCTTTTATTATTTATACATTATAGATATACGTTGCAAAAGCTGTGAATCAATTTATACTTATAATGTACAAATAAAATAAAATACAAACTAACGGTATAAAGATTCACTCAGCTATTGTTGTGTACATGACTTGCAACAAAATACGGAAAACGGGAGCATGGCCAGAAAACTATACCAAAGATACTATCAATGATGAATATTTGCTCAGTCAAACGCTAACACTTTGTTTCAACTCAACTATTAGTTGTGACAAATGAATTTAACAAAATTTATACAAATAACATAGCATTCATCATCATCGTCATCTCATAATTGTAACACATGATTCATGAACATAGTTCTACTACCTCAATCTAAAACTTAAATAAATTAAAAGCTGAGAGCACAGATAATAAATAAGGAAATTAACTGAGGCCTTTTTAAATACAGATACGGGACTGAGACACCGCTAAACATATCAGCCCTACATCTTTTTATCATTTCAATATTATTTTAAAGAGGTGCTAAAACAAGAATCGTCCTACATTTTTTATCATCTCAAGATTATTTTAAAGATATACAAAACCATAAATTACAAAAAAAAAAACTTTGAATCAAATGATAAGCCTACACCCAAATTCTCGCTATGCCGATTTTACTGAGCTTGAAGGCATTTTGCCAATTGAACAAAATGAAAGAGTTACTAATGCAAAATGTATTCTGAAGAATACTTAATTGCTTGATTGATACTTACAAATTAGATAATTCAAGGCGAAAATGGTTTAAATTTTAGAAAAACTATAGAACTTTAGGTGTTACAGTAACAATTACCTCTACAACATCTACTTCGGGTTTTGTAGTTCTATTTTGCCCCACCTCAAGTTTTCCTATCATCTCTCTGTCAATTTTTGACCTATTCTAGACATACTCAAATTGAACATATGATGGATCAAGAAGAGGAACGGGGAAAAGTTAATGTTGAATATATGCGGTGAACATACCATCATGACTGCCAGAACAGCTCAAAATCATTACTATACAAGGAACGGTCTTGAATTTCCAAATTGGCAACATGCCAATTAATGAGTTGAGATTGGAATAACTTACACAAAACCAGTCCGGCTGGAAAAATCCACCATTCATTTTCGTCCCTGCACACCAAATGAGTTAAATAAATAAATAACTAGGAAGATATTCCCAAATAAGCATATCTTATTGAAGCTAGGAATACCCTCACATGATATTCCAAGGCTGAATGCTGGGTTGTCTTTTGCTGGAAGAGGATTGAGAGCTGTAATGAATATATCCACATAAAAATGCAACCACCTGGTGATAAGAAAGTAACAAAAATCCCAAATTAAAAATAAATAAATAAATAAAACCCCACTGTATTTCACCCTAGAAAGTGGAAAAGTCCAGTTTTCTGACAGGGGAAAAAATACCAATCATTTAAATTTTGATAGAAAACTCACAATAGAAAGTGGAAATTTTCATTTTTTGACGGAAAAAAAAATACCAATCACTTAAAATTTGATAGAAAACTCACAACATTTATAAAGGACGTAAGGTTCCACAGAGCATATAGACGTGCAAGGCCTGCAGAACGCCTTGGTCCATGACTAAAAAGAGCATTGATTCCAACAGGAAATGGGAGAAGAATGCCAAAAGGTAATATAAACAATACAAGAAATACATCCACCAAAGAAATTGAGTACAACTGAAGCAGGGTAAGTAATACTAAACTAAAATCTCCTAGAAGCAACATTGAGATTACTAAACCAACAAGATCCTGCAGTCACCATAATAAAGGAAAGGGGAAAGTCAGTTCTCAAATAATGCAAGCACCAAAACAAGCTTAGTCTGCAAAATTATCATTACAAGATATACCTGGTGCCCAACAGGTTTTGTATTCTGAAGTATAAAAGAGAGAAAATAAAAGATATCCCTCTTCTCGTCAAGCATCTGCAAATTGTTCACATCTAAAGAAACTCCTTGCATCTTCCGCCTCAAACAATTGTTCTCAATTCTTCCACCAGGACTTAAGTCAGCTCCACTTGCAAGCCCCGAGTGATGTTCCTTTTTAACAGACGGAACTCTGGAAACCAATATAAACCAGAGCATTAAAAAATCATGTATGATACAGAAAGCCAGACTACAAATCTCTAAATCATTTATCAGCACATCATGTTCACTGTTTCTCATTAAGGTTGTGGGAAAACAATTTGGTAACATGTTATGAGTATAAGGGATTAATTACCGCGATGTTTCCTCAGTTCTTAATGCTCCATCAATACTTCCTCTAGTGTCCGGATAACCTCCTTCGAGAGCATAGACCACAAGCCCATAGTGGCCATAGCGAACACTGGTAGTCTCAAACCATGCAAGATCAACACGAACACCATGGACACTCAAAGCAGGATTGGCATGAGTCTCAAGCCATCTGATAACAGGTCGTAATGTTACCCTTAGTCGTCCATGGCGCACTAACCGTAATTGTGCATTCAGCCCAGCAACCAATCGATACCATGTTGTAGGCTGAACTGACTGCGAAAAAGATTAAACATGTATGGATGAGTTCCCCAACAGTGGAACAAAACATAACATGTTATGTATCTAAGTGTGTCTGTATTTAACATTGTGATCACTAAATCAAACAAACAAACCTGACTCATGAGGCTAGTAAGGATATTATCATTGTGAAGGGTAAATGGAGCCATATAACTTCCATCACCCCCAAAAAGCAATGTTATTGGGAACCTTTCATGTAATCGAGGAGGCAGGTCTGTTCTCTTTTCATCCCCACCAAGAAAGAAGTCCACATATGCAAGCATCAAGTCAGAAGTCGCATTTACCTACAAATTTTACACATGATTAAAAACCTGAATCTACTTTGACTTCGTTTGAGATTAAAAATTACAAAGCTATCTAAAGGAAGTTTTATTCTTAATTAAAAAAAAAACTTGAATTCAAAATTACACAAAAACCTGAAGATTGTATATAATCTCAATAGATAAGGCAGGGCAAAAAAGAATAATAAAATGTTAATATGACATCTGCCATCAGCATGCCCTAATAGATTTGAATTAATGATAAATCTTGTCTATCTAAGTTAAAGAAGTGATATCATTTGATCAAAAACAGTGATGCAATAAAATAAATGGCATCGGATATGACAATCATACCACCAACTCTGCATGATATTGATATAAAGCAAACCCTTCGCTCAACATGAATCCGGTGACCCACATTTAATAAACTAGGTGTTTATATTTTACCATATACGTGCATTAGATTCAGATCAAGAGATGCATCTAAACCAACACAGCTCATTTAAAGAACAAATTGAATTTCAAATATTTCAGTCCACAGGCTAGGCATGCATGTCAACAAGTCAAACCTTAATCCCTTCATAGAGAGCTCGTGATCGGCAAGAACGAAGGCAAGCATGGTCATACTCTGATCGAACAAATTCACGCAATCGTTGCAACTTCAATCTCCTGCGCCAATGTTGCCATGAGCATGCAAGTGGATATCCAATAACTGAGAGAGCGCTAAATATCACTCCCTCCCACCATTGATAAGCAGCTATAGCATTAATCTCATCCACAAATGTATTGAATGCACTCTCATAGCTGCCACATTAAATGATAAAAGATTCCCACCTCAATATCATCATCAAATAACAAATAAAAAAAATAACAGCTATAAAATTCGAACGGAAGAAATTTACTTACACAATATCATGTATTTGTTCCGAAGGTGTATGTGGCAGATGCCAGGGTTCACTGAAAGTATTAGGTCCAATGAAGTACATTCTATGAACATGACTTTGAGACTCCTCAACTCTATTTGTCTCCAAGACCTGGTCATTGCACAACAAACATGGTTATGCCAGTAACAATTATTCCTCAAAGAAAACAAATATCCACCATAAGGGGCATGATCATCATGATTAACAAATCAAAACAAGGAAACCAAAAAGGAACCAACAGTTAGAGAAAAAACCTCATTCAGAGACTCCAAGAAAGGGAAGGAATGATCTATTTGAGAACCATGTTGCGTGGGTGCTGGGCCTGGTAATTCATCAACACCAACAAATTTCATTCTTGCGACACTAAGCACCAAAGCTAAGAGGACCAAGAGACCCGTAAGTAAAAGACCAAATAACCAAGGTCCACCAAATGTATAAATTAACTCTTCAAGAGCTGTATAACAGTCTGGCATGTGATATCGGTCTGAAACGCATTGGTAAGGGCAAGGGGCTTCAGTAATGCCGCCTGCACAAAAACACATGAATACAATTTATGAATGGATATATCAAAGATACTATAATCAGGATCAGAATCGCAAAACTACCTATCCCCACTCAAAAATAAATAAGCAATTAAAATATACAAGTCCATAATCATAAAATATGCAAGAATTATGGTTCAATCCTTCAACTTTCATAATGTAACTTTTAAATTGCATCACATTGAAGACTTGGGCATGCCTGCTTAACTAAACATTCATTAATTTGTAAAATCTACCTCGAACTGAAACATAAACAGCACGATTAGGAAGCTCGTGAACAGGACAAACTTGACAAAGTGAACTATCAGATCCAGTAGAATTCTTGTAAGTGCCTGCTGGACATTCCTGGAGCCATGCAAAAATAAAGTCAGAGTAAAATAAAATGTGCAGAAATACTAATAGTCGCCAACAAAATGGAAACTGAATAGAGCAGAGAGCACAGACACAGGGAAAAGAAAGCTCCTAATAGTTTTAGTAGGCTTTCTTTTATCCAGTTAAAAGCACGGGTAACCCAGTCAGGTAGCTCACCAGCATCAAAGCAGGGTACGGGGGCAGCCTTTAATGTGAGTTTAAAGTAGTCAAATCAGAATAGGCTACTGCAACTCGTGTGCACAAAAGTAAATAAATAAAGATTTTGTCTTTTAAACACTTATTGCCAATACACTATGCAAATAACAAAAAAACAAAATCACAGTAAGGCTCAGTGAACTTTTTCCTTAGTCATCTGCTGTCAAACTCAGAACCCCAACTTCAGTCACTACTAGCATGTTACTAGTTCCTAGACATGCATTTTGTTTATAATTGGTTAGTCATGCATAAGGAACCTTATGCCACAACATCTTTAAGCTTATTTCCAATCCTGCTAGCATGTAGACATTTTTTCAGTACAGCTTTAACTAGTTGTATAGTTTAACCAGTGTACGCCAACGCGTTGCTTGGATGACGATGACTGGGAATGCCATACTATTATCTGTTTGGAACAAGGTGCAGTCAACAGAAAAAGAATGGACAGTATACTTTAGGAGGAAGTCTAGACAATGAAAAGAGGAATTACAAAGTTGTCAGGATTGAGATCTTGCATAAGAACGGAAAGGGGCAGCAAGATCGATAGGGGCTACTAGCAAGATCGGAAAACGTAAGACCATAACAAAGATAGTAAGATCCTATTATTTAAAACAAACCCTAAAGCCGATATATCTATTCTCTAAACTCTAAATCTAAAACTTCATAACTTCAAAAGGCATACCATCACCGCCATCAAACTGTAACTGTTGAGCCTCTGCACCTTGTCGTCCTTATCCTTCATTTCTTAATTCTTCTTAACATGTTTCTTCACACCTTGTGATGGTCGTGGCCAGAAAACGGCAGATTGTGGTTAGAAACAATCTGGATCTTACAAAATCAATGATTTCAAGCTCTTTCAACAACTTGTACAGATTTTGCAGCGATCTTGCTCAATCTTGCTACAATACACAATTTTGCATTCGATTCAGATTGCTGAGGGTTACTGAGATCACAGAATCGTATGATTTTAAGATCTAGATCGAGATCTCGACAACCTAAAGTTATTAGCATAGGATTAAATCATGCATATGTTAGTTTTACTGTACATAGTCGATTCCAAGCCCCAGTAACAGGGAGGGTTAGATCGTGTTAGGCAGTCGACAGCCAACACAAAACTTTGTCGAATCTCAATGGCATGGATCAAATACATCGACAGTTGTAGAGTTTAGTGGGAAGTCATAGGGTTAGTGTAACAAGAGAGTTATGAATATTTAAGGTTAGCAAGGAATTCAGAAGAGCGCAGGTTGTTCATTTGCAAATCCAAGTGGTCATTTCTAGTGCAAGAATTATTATCCCTTGAGAAAGTATTTATATACATTGTGCTGCCCCTAATACTTCATACTTGGTACCATTCATGAAGGTCGCATTCACAAAAGAACTCATAAATAAAAACTGGCTAGAACATTAATTGAACACAGAATTATATAATTGGGAAGTTTGAAAATATATTTGTATACCTCACAAAATGTACCGTAAAGTCCTTTGGGACAAGCTTTCCCAGATATCGTCCCATTTTCTCCAGAGCCACCCAAGCCTTTACCCTTTCCTCCCCTGTAATAATCAAATAAAAAATGAAGTTCAGAAATTACTGTTATACAAGTATGAAAAGAAAGTGTAGAACTGCAAATGAAATACAGAGGGTCAAAAAAAAAAACTTCAAGGAAATATGACGAAAGTTATGTGCAAAACAGGAGGTTTGCTATAGTCACAGGAGTTTGGGGGCAGCAATCACCCTGTGGGGCTGAACATGGTTGCATTCCACCCCTCACCAGAAGCATTTGTGATCATGACAGGAGATAGACTGTTAGGATCCCACATTGCCCATATAGGCTACCCATTAAGAATGTGTATGTTAGTAAGGCTAGGCAGGGTATAACTAAAAATTGAGTATCACTATGATATTCATTCATTCATTTTGTAAAGTGTAACAAACAGTTATTACAGTTGAGAGAGGGATTCTCCTTTGAGAGAATAATAGAAATTTTGTTATTCAATAGATCTTTCTCTTTTCTTATTCTTTCTTTCTCTCTTCCTTGTTCTTGTTTAACTCTTCAAATCCCCAATAACTCATGCTCTACCACAGAGATTATAATTATCATATACAAATTACTTTCTTGGATAAATATATAAAAGCTAAAAGTTTCAATTTTTCAACACAATGAAGAGGAAACAAGGTATCTTCTTACTCAACTCTAACCCCCAAGAACAAGATAAAATGCTAAAGCTCAAAAAAGATAAATACAATAAGCTGCAAATTTGCAGGACTTGAACATTTTTCAGGATTTTTTTAGTAGAACACAGTATTTTATGGTTTGATTTGAAGGGCCTGACAAAATAGAAAGGTCAAAGGTGCTAACTGTGCCACTATCATGTGTGGCTGTAGCAGGATGTACACGTCTTTATCAAGAACAGTTATGATTTGACTCTTACAAGTTCTTCCCATGGTTGTTTTAAAGGAAACATCCATCTCTGATATGCAAAGATAATCGTCAATCTCGCTGCTTCCCAGTTTCTTTCTTTACTTTTGCATTTCCAGCAGTTAAAGATGTCTTATCATTCTTCTGGTTGTAAAGATTATTATTTTACTTCTTTTACTGACAGGAAAAAGAACATTTACTAGCAGCCTTCTCATGAAACTATTATTCCTCTGGAAGGATGCCTATCCAGAGTTATCAATCCCGGGGAATAGCGGCGGTATCGCGGGAGAGCGGCACGGAGCGGTGGCCGGCCGCTACAGCGTAGCAGTTCGCGTCTCGGTTAGAGATCATGGCCACTTTTTGGCTTGGGAGCGGGTCTGTTTTGAATGCGAAAAACCATATTTACCCTTAAAAAATAAACGTTGGAGGAGTTTTTCTGGAATTTCACCCAGTTTGTTGTAACTCAGAAAACAGAGGATTCGTCGCTTCCACCCCTAACTTAAAAAACTCTCTTTTGTCTTCTCACTCAGTCAATTTCTCTCAGGTTGGTTTTCAAAAGTTCTTCTTACTCATTTGTTCTTCTTTTCTTCTTTCTTGTCTTCTTCTCTCTTTACTCTTCTCACTGTCCTCTGTTTTTTCTCTTCTTTCTTTACTCTTCATATTGTCCTCTGTTTTTTTTAAAGTAATAACAATTTAGTAACTCTATTCCATCTGTTTTCTTTTTCTTTTATTTGTAGACAATGGCAGCACCTTCTTCTATGTTTGTTTGAATTTTAATAAAAGATGTAATGTTTTCTATGTTTGCTTGAATTTGATTAAGAGATTTTGATTAAGCCTTGTGCTTTGATATTTGATTCTATTAATCTTTTATGGGTATTGTGTTATTTATTTAGTTTTTTCATTGAATATATATTTTATAGTTATTATTCATATAATTAATCCAAAAAATAGTCAAGTGGTGGTTATCCCGCTATCCGCTATCACATTTTTGGTGTCGGTCGCTCCGCTCCACTATCAGGAATTGATAACTATATGCCTACCTAAGATGTTATCTTGTGGTAAGGCAAGTAATTAAAATATGTCCTTTGGATGTACACGGGGGAGAGGATAAATGTTAGTGGCAACTACAACTGTTAGCTTTAAAATATGGCAAATGTAACAACAAACGCTGGCAGCCATTTAGTTTTGGAAAATGAAGGCAGCTACAGTGGTGGGGGAAAAAGAAACAAAAAAAAAAACATACTACAAGATCATACACTCTAGTAAATAGGAAGGAAGTAGGAACTTTTATTAAGACACCACGACAAAGGTCTTTTTGCGGGCTTACTTGTAGACATTGTAAAGCATATTCAGCTTCAAATAAATATTATAATTGTAACAAAAGATTATTGTAGACATACCCAGACTGAATGTTTCCTTTCACAGTTGCAATGGGCTGATAAACATCTCCAGTAGGAATGTCAGACCAATGAAAATGAATTCTTCCCCCGCCTCCACCGCCACCTCCACTAATACCACTATATCCCCCAATGCTAGAAAGAATAGCTGATTCATCAATGGCAAGGCTATGGAGAAATAATAGAATAGTGCCACCAGATCCACCTCCAGGGCCTCCGGTAAAATTATCAAAAATAACAAATTTTTCCCTTCTAATTGCTGGATCAAAATCCTCTCCATCGGCATTTACAGAACCTTTGATTGACAAACTTGACAAAGGGTGGTCTAATGATCCAATTACTGATATGACACAAGAAAGAAAATTAAGGGGGAAAACTGTAATTAACATTTTGTTATTAAAAAAATAAAGTGTTGGCTCAAACATAAGCTTACCTATGATACCACCCCCAGCTGTGGTACCAGTTGAGCTTCCATTTCCACTTCCACTACCAAGTTCACAGGGCAGATCTGGAGTTCCATATGAGATTCCACCCTTAACACAATAGTCACTGGAACATGCTTTTCCACCTTTACCGCCATGCCCACCACCACTGCAAATACCATTACTTAGAATATTTCCATGACCCAGACCACCAGTACAACCTGCAAAATGATTTTTTTTAAAGAAAATCAGTGTAAGAAATGTATAGTTGAGAAAAAAGTGACAACAACCTCTTTGCCAACCAGGAAGCATACCCATTCCAGAGGCAGATATTGTTCCAGAAGATTCGATACTTATTGTCCTTGCCCTATGAAAATGAACAACAGAACCTTTTATAAGGCCTTCAACAAGGACATCCTCAACACGGCAGACCTAGAAAAGCAACATGCAGAATGCTTAAGTTCAAACAATAGATGTGCAAGAATAACGAAAAAATTTAAGCCATCAAAACTTGAAGTACCTGAAGTGTAAAAGACAAGGATGAGTTCACATTGCAATCTTCAGGAGGGTGAAGTAATTCATACGGGCAGTCTTTGTTGTCACAGTGAAGTTTTGGAGTACTGTCAATCATAAGAGCATAGAAATTTAGCAGAACTAGAAACTAAGATGAGAGGTCAAAAATAATGATTTGATAACAACCAAACATACACATCATCAGTTGTTGCATTCTCCAATGGACCACGCAAGACAGATCCAGGCCCAACCTATAAGAAAATGTCAAAAGTAGACTGACTCAGTTCATAGAGGGGTAAGAACAAATAAAACTCAACCCAAATACAAGAACATATATAATTACCACAAATCACAATGGCGAAGAGAAAATTGAGAATAACCAAATCAAAAGTCATGAGAAGTAAGAACGGAAAACATTAAAGTAGAAATGAACGACCAAAAGAGTGGCACAAGAAACAGAAACAGTCCACCATAACAGAGTGTGATATTTTTCTGATAGTTTCTTCTTTCATCGGTCTTAAGCACAAAAACAAATAGGAATTATTTATACACATGTTCTGGGAGGCATAGAGAGGAAAAACATTTAATAATGATGAGCTTTGTGTCCATTAGTTTGGGAAATTTTTTTGTAGCATGATGGTCGAAAATTTTGTAGTGGTTTTGTTGACCTTAGATCGGTATGAGAGAGGATTGTCTCGACGGCTACTGTTTGGTGTTCTGCTCAAGGTTTCTGGCAACCTATCAAGATTGTCTCCAACTGCTAAATTTTACAGAACTTGTTTCTAACCAGAAGAAAAACTCCCTTATATCATGTCATGCTATTAAATAATCAACTGATTACAGCTAAGAGTTAAATGACTGGGATTTAAACTCTGATTTAATACTAACATTTGCCTATCTGAAATAATAATAACTGAAGAAAAATGCAGAGGAGAGGAGAAAGCACATATAGATAAAGAACGAACTAAGTAAAAAAAACTCAAATATACAACAGAGATTTGCAGCAGTTTTTTTTTAAAATCAACCTCAACTCAAATGATGTGATATATACTCAGTTCTACGTAGTATTTTAAACACATCTTTATAACACCATGGTGACTGCATTACAATACAGGTTCTCAATCTTTGATTTCTTTGTACGGTAATAGAATAACATGTCCCAGAACACTATTTTCATAGGCTTAATTTGCAAAGATTGACCACTGCATAGAGACCATGAAAAGAGCTATCAAGCCATGCTCTATTATGTGTAGTATGTATGAATTTTCTTAAATAAATCAGCATGGGTTCAGGGCCTTGCAGATTTGCACCTATGTGCTGGGTGAAATGAAAGTGTAATGAAAAGAAACGAGTTCCCTTAAATCATTATATAGATGAATAAAACAGGAAATTAAGCGTGTGTACTATTTAAAAGATCAAACATAAACAAAACATCGTCTCACGTGAATACTATAAAATAGAGATAAAACCAAACGTTGTGCTTCAATCCAGTCTCCTGGGCCGGATAAATTCAGTAAACCTTGCCCATGAACTCCAAGGTTAGCATTAGAATGTATCACAGAAGACCCCTGTTAACAAAACTGTGTCACATATACCTGTAACAAATGGAATATAATGCACAGGGGAGGGGAGGAGTTGTTACATACCCTGAGAACAATCAAATTACTAGCCTCAAGCAAAGACGTTGCCACTGTTATATCTTCCCCGCATTCTATGAGCATTTTTGAGTTCCACATCAAGAACATTTTTACAGACATGCGTAAAGCTCCAAATACCTTTGTCACACAAATTAAGTGTAAGGTTAAAGTAATATAAGAAAACAGTCCACCTATGTTTGATATCATCGGCATTTATCCTTAGTTTTATATCACAATTTAAAGATGCAGTGGATAGCTGCACTAGAGCTCAAAAATGTATCAAGAAACGGGATCTATTAAACAAACGCTCGGAAATTCCAGCTACCTTCATCACAGAATCACTCATCAACAGCTCTTCAGCTAACAACTCGAACTCTGAAGAAGCATAGTGTGGCAGCCCAAAGCTCAGTACCCCACCCTGCAATATACTTAGCTGTCCTTGCACCTATATAACAAAGGATAAAGAGGAAGCAATAGTTTAGTTGATGCCCTCAAGTGCCAAAAGAAAATTTCAATACTGATGACAAATAAGATAGAATATGCATTATGCATCAAAATATGAAGGGAAGATGGGAAGTTTACAGTTTTTTTACAGTATTTGCAAGAAAGGGCATGAAATACAGAAACAAAAACTTACCAAATCATCAACAATTTGGGTCCCTTAGGGGACATCCAATAAAATTGGAACAATATAGAGAAGATCAACAATTTGGATGAGATAGGAGTGAAAAAAACTTAGGCGACATAACTAGGTGAAAGGAAGAGCATTAAATTCTCCTTTTCAAAGCTTTCCGTCTCAATCAAATGCCTGAAATCTTGTTTTCTTCACTAAATCTTCCATTGGGGAGGTAATGATATCATATTTTGAGTTTTACAAAGGAATTTCAAAATTTATATTAAAATTTTTGAAAAAAGACAGGCAAAATCAGAGAAGAAATAAAGAGGCTGTTGAAGATAAATAACATAAGAGAAGAAAAGAAAAGGGGTTGACTAGCAGAAAATCAGCTTTGGGATTTGGATAATCAAATAATTTATAAATCTGCATTTGACAAACCTGAACACGACTCCAAAGCAATGGAACGGTGGCCCTAGCCTTGTTACGGACATAAACATTAGTCAAAAGGGGCTGATAAGGAAAATCCAAGAGAAGTGTCTCTGTGTCAGTTGTCATGTTATAGTTATCAACTATAAGGCTTCGAGGAACTGCATCATAAAGAGTCCCGGCTGCTCCTGCATTTTCAGGACAGGCAAAGCTACTACCACCTGAAATAAAGAAATTAATCGTCCGGTCAACATAACTGATGATGAATTTGAAGCCACGTCCAACAGAACTGAAGTCATCTATTGTCCAGCCTATAAGAGTTGTCCAAAAAGTAGGATACTGGATGATATATCTAAAGCCTAGTTAGTTCTAGAATCTTGAGAGCAGTATATACTTTATTCTGCAATGCCAAGTTAATGATTCATCTTTCATCATAACCATTTGCCTTATCATAAAAAGTGGAAGTTCCTCTGATTCTTTACTATATTAATCTACCAAAAGAGCAATTCATTCGCAAAAAGTATACTAGATTGTGTGGTTGGCTAATTAGAACTAATACAATTCTCTGAGAATTCAAACTGCATAATCACTTGGCATCTGTGAGCCTGGTTAGTTTGCAAATATAAGGATCCCCCTACCCCAAACACACACACACACGAGGTGCCAAAGCACGGTCACCTAATATATTAGAAGTTGGCATATGTGAGAATTTAATCAGATGGAATACCTTCTGCAAAGTGTGTTTAGATACAGCTAGCTAGTGCAAAAGCATAAAACCTCACCATGGACATAAATTGTGGGCTCATCATGCCTACTGAAAACTTCGACTGAAACTCTGCCACCTCCTCCACCTGCGTAACCATTACCTCCACAAGCACTTATCATCCCACTACCAGTCCTGCTCTTTAAAATAAAAAACAAATAAGTGATCAATCATAAAGTCTAGATTCATGAAAAGTCGCTTTAATTGCAATCAAGCACAAGAATATTTTAAAACATTCCATTACTGGCTAGGCACATAAATATAGAGAGAAATCAAGTCCTTGAAATGAATAATTTATAAACCATGATATGGTTTTAGGCCTATGGTAACACATTAAGATGCATATACTAGTACTAATTTTATTGAAACAGTGATGAAGAGTAGTTGAGGTAATACATAGACAACTTCATCATGGAACATGGCAGTGAGTAAACTACATAAACCATTGGTAACAAGAAGAAAAAGGCTCGGAAACAAGATTTCAAAAAAAATGGATGCAGTAATTTGTATCAGTTATGTCCCTCAGTTAACCACATAAAATAGCGGCGCCATGGCCGCAATGGCGGATATACATGGCGGTTTTTGGGCTCGCCGCAATGGTAAATATCGGCCGATATGGCAGGATTTCGCCTCTCCGCCATCCGTCATCGACATCACTGGTTAACCACACAAAATCCAGTGCTGGCATTCAAAAAGTTAACAAATGCGCTGATCGAGTGTCTTAAATTCGAAAGGAAAAACTGCAATTAAAACCGTGATTAAAATAAGAAAGAAACATATATGGAATGAGAATAAGCTAAATAGTAAAAAGTTTGGAGGAATGAAAAAACGGCTAACAGGCGAGGATTACGAATCGTAGTTGAATATCCAAACTGCAAACAAGAAATCATATAGCGATACTAGAATAGAAAGATGACTAACTAATACAGAATAATCAGTATTATGCTTGATATAACCAAATAAGAGCCAAAAAAATAACTATTACATTCTATAACCCTTGATGTAGATACTGCCACCGGAGCCACCTCCACCCTTGGTCCCTCCATTACCCCCATCAGCCAAAAGAGTTGCATTCATCTCAATAACTTTAACAACAACCATGCTCACAATCCCCCCACCCAACCCACCATAGTCACTATCCTTGCTTGTGGACGCACCACTGCTCCCAAAACTATCTGGTTGCTGCAGGGAAGCCCACGAATAAGCGTCCCCTCCCCAAACATCCTCCGGAAGCTTCGTTGTGTCCACCAAACAACTGGCACCCCTCCCTCCGTGGCCCCCGCCACCCCCAGCAACCCCATGAGGAGTCCCACTCGTCTGAGGTGGAGGCGGCCCCGCCATAGCTGTCGTGTTCACCACCGAAAAATTCCCAAAAACAGCATTATCTGCTCCCAACCCAAAAGCTCCGGCGAGAACCGACGAGTTGTCACCTAAACTAAAATTACCAGTAACATTAACGGTAATCATGCACCCAGGAATCTCACAATGAAACCTCACCCCGGGTAGAATGTTAAAATTCCCCTTCCCTGCCACATACACGTCGCGAGTAAGATTCGCGTCATTCGCAATATTGCACGTGGTGTCCAGAGAACCAACCCCGCCGAGATCGTCCACGCACGACACCGATGGCGGATGAGGCGGTGGTGGAGGCGGAGCCGGCGGAGAGTAATCCTGATGAAAAAGGTTCCAATCGAAATCAGTTATAGAAAAGTCACGCTCCAACTCGTCGCTCTTCGATTCATCGCAAACACAGTCTCTCGCGAACACAACAACACCAACCGCGAATACAACAAAGAAACGGAGGCTCCGGAAACAAAATCGAGCCATTCACCGGCGGCAATAGAACTCATTACACTAAGAGAACTGAGATTCGGATATCAGAAGTAAAATTCGATTCAGAAACCAATGCAATGAACCTCGCGGTCACCATGGATGAAAAAACCTAATCTCTGTAACCGTACGAAAATTCAATCTCACTGAAAATGAAAACCCTAGAAATCTATATCTTAGAAACGCACGAGGAGAAAGATCGAATTGAATCAGAAATAAGAGAAAGAAAAGAACCACGATTTTCAGACTCTGGTGCTAAAGGAGAGAAGGGACTTATTGTATACGGAGAGGTTCACGTGAGCTTCGGCATTTTTCTATTTTGATGACTTTGATTGATGAATTGTGGGAATTACTGTGGACTTCACCGTAGGGAATAATTTTGTTGTAGAGTTACCGAACCTCACGCCGCTTTAAAGGAGCGTCAGAGACACATTTGTAATTAATTAACCAAAATAATGAATGAATGAAAGTTACGAAACAGTACACGTGGAATGTGAAAGTGAGTAAGGGTATGAATGGTAGGTTATTCGTTGCGTGGACTTTACGCTCTGCCCGCGGTCAGGGTTAAGCGCGTGTCGGAAAAAGACAAGAAGCATGGAATGAGCCACCGTCAACTGACCTGACGAATGAGGTATCGCCAGCCGGTGACGGCTGTTGTGTTTGATTTATCTGCGGAAATTTTGGAAGCGGTGTTGAATGTTGATGTGTGTTTTTGCTGGGAAATGCTAAATCCAAAATATTAATATTCTTTTAAAATATTGTGTATTTAATTGTATAAAGTTTACATAGTATTATTAATAAAAAATTCTTTTTTTTAATAAATAATTTATGTTTTCGAAGAGAGCATATCCTCAATACTCAAGCTTTTATTATTAGGTTATATACACGCACACTTATTAATAAAAAAATTTTAATTTGTGCCTAAAAGTATGTTAGCAAGATCTTTTATATAAATATTGGAAAATGCAAAATCGTTTTTTAAAAGCTAAATATTTTTTCACAAGGTCTATCGATGGTTATCACAATGGTTAAAAATATGAAATGTTATTTCTAGTGTTGTTTATCATACATTTCAGAGAGAAAAGTGGATTAAATCAAAATGAATTATAATAAAAATTTATTTGAGTTGAATTATTTCAATTTATTTAAAATCGAACTAAAATAATTGATTTAATATATTATTTTAAAATATCAAACAGTACAAATTTTCTTAAACCAAATCAATTATTAAAAAACTTAATTATTAAATTATTTATCAAATTTTAAAAAAAGTCATTTTTAATATTTTTTATTTATAATTTTGATTTTATTCAATTTTAGTTTTAGTTTATTTCAACAGTTTGATTTGATTCTACAATTTTTTATATAATATAATTTAGTTTACTAATCAAACATAATAATTTATTTATTTTAATTTGATTCGACAGTTCTATTCAATTCATAATATTTTGAACAAGTTATCTCTAATAAATTAGACTGGTATATATATATATATATATATATATATATATATATATATATATATATATATATATATATATATATATATATATATATATATATATATATATATATATATATATATATATATATATATATATATATATATATATATATATATATATATATATATATATATATATATATATATATATATATATATATATTTTAAAAGAAGATGAGTAGGCGGTCTTCAATTTCCGTGTTTCTTAATTAGTTTGTTTTGTATTTGTAAATTATGTTACATATTTTGTATTGGATTAGATTTTCATAGTAAACTTTGCTGCAGGTTTTTTTTTTTGAAATAGTGTGTTTGAGGTGAGCTGCACTTATGAGATTGAAGATTGTTGGTTGAAGCCATTGATGAACATGAAAGTAATGGAGACACTATATAGTTGGCTTTGAAGAAAAATCTATCTAATAATAAAATATGATATTTTGGAAATTTCTATGTTGACCTTACTTATTTTCTAGCCATATTATCGTTTTAGGGTTTTTTTTTTCTAACTTAACTATTTTTAATTTTGTATAACTTTTAGGTTCTATGATAACAATGAAAGTAGTAATAAGGATTAAAATGAGAAATAATAATAAGAGATTGTTTTATTGGATGATTGAAAGAGATATACATAGATTAAGGAATCTATTGCCATAGAGTTGGGCTTCTAAGGTCAACTCTCTGTGTGGTTGATTTACTGTTTCTACAGTCTTGACTTCTCTTTTACTGGTAAACTGATACTCATTCAAGCTCATTTTCTCAATCAATTATCTTACTAGTGATTCGATTAACGTTCTAATTGTGTGCCTTTTGTTGAAGCGTCTAAAAGCATCCTTGCTTGATTGTGCAACCCCTTCCTAAAATTTTGCATCTGTTTCATATTGCTCATATTGTGATTTGAACATTGTTGCAGTGACAATTTGAACTTTTCTCATGCGTCATGCAATTCTTCGATTTCTTGTTATTTAAATTTTGAAATGTTTGTCCTTCTTTCATTAAACTGCGTAGTTGTTAAAAACCTGTCAAGAAATTTATCCTATAGTTTTTTTCCATATTCCAATGGTTCCATTCGAAAGACAAAATAAGCAGTCTTTTACTCTCCCAACCAATGAAAAATTGAACAGCCTCAATTTGACTTGATCTTCTGTGATACCTTATGGTTACCACATTGAAGTTATTTCGTAGAAGTTAGCTAAATGTTCCCAAGGGTCATGAATCACACTTCCATCAAAGTGATTATCCTTGAGACCTAAAAGAGCATAATTTTTTATGTTAAAAGTCACAAGATTAGAGGGTACAAAATCCATTGATATTTGTCTTGCATCTGTTTGTTTGCAATAATCACCCATCGTCGGGAGTGGTGGTAAGTTTGCCATAGGGTTTCTTTGTCGATTTCGCTATCCAAAGAAACAAGTAAATTATCCTCCACTAAAGTTTTCTCTGCTAGAGTGGCTTCTCTCTAAACCCTAAAGTTTACCATGGGGTTTTCTTCTGGATCAAAGGGTATCAACTTCGGTCTTGAACTGTACATACACAAACAAAATAACTTAGTAGTAATGTATAACAAGAATTAAAATAAAAGCTAAAAATAACAAAATTAAAACTAAATAAAAACATTACGCAAGCGTTGTCTTGTTGAAATTATCAACAGTCTTCGACAATAGTGTCAAAAACTTGATGACTTTTCGGCAAGTGTATTGATAGTGTCGAAGTAATAAATAAGACCGTATCCATATGGATTTTGTCATACCCTAAATTTTCCCGCCCTTTATTTCTACGGTCAAAAATATTTTTAACATTGATTTTTATAATATTCTTTGGTTCAATTTTACTAACATTTTAACAATAATTTATTTCGCTTTTTAAAAAAAGAATTTTTTTTTGGAATAACCAAGTATTAAAAAAATTCGCAAATAACCATGTTTCAGAAAAAAATTACGCAAATAACCATGTTTTAGAAGACTCCCCAAGGGATGAGTCATCTCACTTGGCGCATACACCTACTTTTTAAGGGGAGGCACCATCTCACTTGGCGCTTAGGTGCTTAGGGCTTGCCCTAAGCCAAGTGAGATGGCGCCTTAGTGCATTTGCTAGGGAAATTTTCGCATTCTTTTTCTTTCAATGCGGTGCATTACGTATTCGATATAGGATCAACAAAATTGACTTTTTATTTACAAAATATGATTACACACATAATTATTACATAAAAAAACAGATTAATCAGTGGTCCCCTGGAACCTGATAATGACCCTCGATTCCGCATCCCCGTCCTCGCCTTTCCCGTGTTGGGTTTCATCGTGTTTCTTGTTGTGGCAGGGTCGATGGCCCAGCGAAGTCAATGCATTCCGGATCCATGAAATCAGTTAGATCTCCATATCTAGAAGATCCGCTTTGGTACAGTCGGTTACCCATACCCTCAAAGTTTGGTCGTGTTGGCGGTGGGTGGGGTTCCATGATTGGTCTGTAGCACTGGTCGTCTGAGTACGGGGATAGAAAGGAAATGGATCTTGGGGTGTTTGGTATTGAGGATTGTTGTACCCCAAAATTTGTCCTCCCATATTTCTCAACACATGGCAAGTGAGGTCCCCAAATTGCTCAAGGAAGTCCAAAATTGACCAGACAAACTCTCTCTCAATGCAGTCTACCTCAAATTAGGGTTTCATTTTTCATTAAGATGCTTGAGTCCAAAGGATTCCAAATGCTCACCATTGTCTTAATGAATTCTCAAGATCATCCATGTCAAGTTTCAAGCCTTGCAGAAGAAGTTTGCTCAGTCAATTGCTCAAATGCCTGAAAATCAATTGTGTTAGGTCAAAAGTCACATGTGGCCCAAATACAGTCAAACTTCAAGATTTTTGGTCAACATCCTCATTTTAAAGTATTATTCATCATTTGATCAAGGGTTGATCATGATTCCTCAAGGATTTCTCACAATTCATCAAAACCTAAAAGTTGCTAAATTAGGGTTTTACAGGAAAAGTCAACCCAACTTTGACCAATCATAACTTTCTCATACCTTATCAGAAATGACCCATCCAAATCTCATTTTGAAGGGGATGAAAGTCTCTACAATTCATCTTCAGCCCCCAAGTTCAAAATATGCACTCACAAGAAGATATGAATTTTGATATTATAGGTCATTTTGGAAAGTAAAAAAAAAACTCCTTTTGGGTCAAAGCTTCATACATGAACATGGAAGACTCAATTGAGATGAGACTAAAAGGGTTGATTAGAGGACATCCTAAGCTTTCTAAAAAGTCTAAGAACACCTATCTAGGGTCAAAATTGAGAGAGTTGTGCATTGGCCAAGTTGACCTTTTTTGCAAAATTGCCAAAAGTTAAATGTGCTCAAATTTGCATTTTTTGCTAAATGGCCCCAACTTTTTATGCTTGCACTTCAATGATAATGTAGTCCACGACCTATGGGACCCTCCATGCTTTATTTATTTATTTATTTATTTTATTTTAATTTTTATTTATTTAAATTCAAATAAAATTA